GTCTTCTCTCCAATATGTGGATGCTAGCACACAATAAGGGTGGGGAGGGATAAAAGTTTCATTGGATAAGACAAAGGGGAATGAAGGGAAGGGAGCAGGAATGGGAACAGGAAAGGTAGTAGAATGAACAGGACATAACTTTCCTATGTTCAAAAGACCTGTGAAACACCACGTCATGTACAAATATAAGAATGGTATCCTAATTAGAATAAGTTATACTTCATGTATATATAATATGTCAAATTATACTCTAGAGTCATGTATATCTAAAATAAATAGGTAAGTAAAAATAACTGTTAAAAAGACAGCAGGAAAAAATTTTAAAATTATTTCCAAAAGTAACCCAAAAGTTTCTTCAGGGGGATGAAGAGTGGGATGAAAACATTTGGGTAATGTTTCCCAGAGAAGAAAAAAGTTCCCAGTAAAATTCTGGAGAATGTAAAAACAAAATGGAGAATTAGTGAATTAATAGCTGATAAGTGGGAGAACACTTTTTACTTGGATAAAGGTATTAAATATTCATGTATCCTAAAAAAAAAATGTCKCCTTATTCCCAACCCAGAGACAGGAGTGTTATTGCCCAACCCCTAGTACAAGTGATGAGGCCAAGTGGCTCTCCAAAACTGAGAGTGCTCAGAAATGCCAGGATGGCTCCTCCTCTCCTCTGAGGTTGCCTTGAAGAGCAAAGGCAAGGAGCTGAGATGGCTATGTGCAGCACAGGTGGCTATGGGAGCACAGGCAGTGAAAGGAGCCAGGGCTCAGGAAGTGACTCAAGATGACATCACATATGAGTCTAGAATGATGATTGACACAGGGGAGGTAAAGAAGGCAAGGAAAGGGATTCTAACCAACAGGAAGCARAGTGGGCAAACATTCAGAAGCTGAGGCATGCGTGTTGTGAGAATGAAAGTTAGCTAAGTGCAGTTGGAGCATGGAGCAAGCAGGGAGGAATGAGCACATGTCCACAGGACAGTGAAAGGAGGGGAAAACCGGCTCATGAAGAGCATCTTGTGCCAGTAAAGAAATCTGTCCTTTGTCCTGAGGACAATGGGGAGGAGCCACTCCAGGGTTTAATCAGGGCTGGGAATCATCAGCATTGTGCTGTAGAAGAATCATCCAGGAAGAAGTACAGAAAGCCTCATTTGAGTGAGCAGGATTGCAGGTTGGGAGATGAATTTGGAGACCAAGTGTAGGTGGCCTTAGTAAAGTAGCAGCAGGTAAGCTGGAGAAAAGTTTGCTAGTTACAGGGATATTTAGAAGAGAAATCAAATCTTGGTGAAAGATTAGATTGGGGAGCAGAGAGAGAAAAATAAGTCAGAAATGATGCCTGCCATGACTCTGCCAAGCAGTAGTTTGGACAATTGCTTAAATGATATTGGCTTCGATTAAACCAAGGAACCCAGTAGGAAGATGGAGTATGTCAGAAAAGATAAAGTGTGTCGGATTAAATATTTTTAGATGAGATGCCTTGGGATATCCAAGAAGAGGCATTTGATGGGTGGTTGGATATTTGACCTGGAACTCATCAGAGAGTATTGAGCAGGATATAAGGACACATATTTGGAAGTCCTCAGTACTGGATAGTAACTGGAGCTCTAAAAGAAGGATGGTATCATCCAAGGGAATTCAGCAGATCTCTGGAAGAGCTCAGATATTTAAGGGACAAGTATAGGAAGAGATCCGACCAGAATAGAGGTAGAAAAATCAAGAGAATAGAGTGTTTGGGAAATAAAAGGAAGAGAACAAAATGAGGAAGAAGTGGTCAAGTGATGTAAAATGCAGAAATGATCCCTGGGAGTTTTATGGTGGGTTGAGTTTCAGTAGAATGGGGACTGGAAGAATGTATATTGTGTTGGGCTGAGAAGTTAGAAACTGGAGACTTATAGTATGGGAGCTTCTTCTCCAAGACCTTGTTCTTACTCCTGGAAAGAATGCAAATGTCTTTTGTCATACTATGAATTCTGATTTGGGGGTTGAGAGTATGGTCACCATACTTCTGGGCAGTGTGTGAATTCAAAGAATTAAATGATTTGTAAAAAAATGAAGAGTAGACGAGAGATTCCACGGGTGCTGTTTGCATTTAAGGTAGTAAGCAACATATTCTGAAAAAAAAAAATCTTCCCTGACTCTTGGGTATTTTTAAATCTAAAGATGTATGTCTTGTGATGACAAAGGCAAGTGAACTATTTCTCAATCACTGCCATTTTATAGTGATGAGGGCTCTGTATTTATTTTGTTTGTTTGTTTGCTTATTCATTTATTGCATTGCTGATGATCAAGCCTGTGTTCTGTATTTAATCTTCCTAGCAGCTTGAAAGATAGAGAGTATTAGCCTAACTGCAAAAGAGTAAACTAGACTCAGGTTGATGGGCCTGCTCACCCAGCTGGTACATGATGAAGTCACTTCATGGTTGTTGCAAGTGTTTTTTCCATCATACCCCAGTGGGACTTGGACAGACAGAACTCTCTCTGAGATCAGATATATGAGCCTGGAGTTCATGAGAGGGAGGGAGAACGATTCAATTGGGATCACAATTAATATGTGATTCCCTAGTTGGAGAAGGGCAGACTGCCATTTGAAAGGGAATTGATAAAACATACAAAATGAAACAATGTCAGAACCAAAAAAGGCATCATGCAAGGTTAAAATTATGTGAATAATGATGTGCATTAGTTATTTTAATGTCTTCCAAGTGCATTTCATTTTGAATGATATACTCAGATAGCACACATGGTAAGGTATAATTGAAAAAACATGTAGGGGAATGGCTGAATCCAAAGAATAAACACACAGCTGGGAGGAGGTTAGGAGTCAAAGGGGTAAGCATATGCCCCATCCCCCAGGGATCTCATTAGTGCGTGAGTGACCATATATGTAGAGGCTAAATGAATCTCACTGTTTGCAAAGGCCCACAGTAAATGAGACAATGACGAATCAATAGTAATTAGGCCTATAGGTTCTTATTGACCCAGATGTCTGAAACCAGATGCCCTGCTCTGAGATTCCTTGAGAGGTAGAATGAAAAGATTTATAGACATGCGCTTCTTTAAAAAAAAATAAAATAAAAGTCCCTTTACTCTAAAAGCATTGACACTGTTCTGAAATGGAAAGTGGCTGGAGTTAGGGTAAACACTTGGCTTCTGGCTAGAAAGGATGTTCCAGTCTTCTGTTGTGAATGTGGTTCCTGGGAGCTGGGAGATGGAAACCCAGGATGTGATCATATTCTGCCTCCATATATTGCTCTGGCCCACCTGCCTCAAGAATCCTTTCCTAAAACCATAATGGCATATTTTAAAATAAGGCTTGAGTGGGGGGGGGAGCTTTGCCAAATAATTCTGGACCTAAGATACAGGAAGCACTTGACTTCAGAATCATACCAAGGATTTTCGTTTGGATTTGGTCCTGTCTCTCCACCTCTCTGAATGTCTCTCTATAGAGGGGGATTGGTGATGCCTCCCTCCCTGGACCATGGGTGGAAGGCCTGGTGCAGATTCAGGGAACAGCAGCTGCTGCCCTGTGGGTGTTGAGCCTTGTCCTGGTCAGATGTCACTCCTCCTGATGTGTTTGGAGGCAGAGGTGTTATAGCAAGAAGCAAAGAGACTGGCATTAGGTGGGGCTGCCTTTGCCTCCGCCCAGCACACATCATACATACATATTCTTGAGTTGATACACACCCCCTGGTACACACGCAGGGGGGCAGTTTTGCTTTTCTACATCTCTTTATTTGATAAAGCGGGGAGGGGGGTTGAAAAGCAAGACTCCACCTTTAGTTTGTTTCCTTACACTTAGTTTARAAAACTTACAGGAACTTCATGGGATCCATGGGGACTCCAGGTATCACAAAACTAGAACTAGAAATCGCTGAGCCTTACTTCTAAAACATTTTACAAATGCAAGCCATAAATATTGTCTGAAGTTTCTTAGATATTAACCTCCTTTGGACACTGATTTCCTATACATTTTTTCTGACATTATTCAAGCCAGGTGTTAAACCTTTATAGCTATAGTTTCAAGGACACCAGTGGGAAGTGGCAGAGATGCCAAACTGATGTTTCTACTTTCTTGTGGGATCAGTGATTCAGCACTTTGGAAGGCAGCCCCTCTAGAGAGGGCACAGCTAGCCAGCTTTCATCCTTGTGCCATGCAGTAAGATTTAGCCCAGTGAAGGAGGGATCCTTATACCTCTTTTGTGAATGGGGAATTACAGTTCAGTGAGGCCAAGTCTTACTTCCCAGCTAGGACAAGAGGAAACAAGACCTAAACCCAGCTCTGGCTTGACTTCCAAGACTATAGTCTTTCCTCTGCTGTCCTCTCAACTGAAAGTATGAAGAATAAGGGAGTTGGTCTGATTCCCTCATGAAGAAATCAAGGCTTAAAAAGGGGAAAGAACACTCACCGTGTCATTTAATGGTTACAGTTGGAGATCAGGTCTCTTTCTCCTGATCCTAACTGCATTCATGACTTTCAGTCACTTTCTCAGCAAATTCCCATATTGAATCCAGGAACATGTATTTGTGTTCATTTGTCATTTCATCATTATTATTATTACAATTACAAAGACTGATTTTAATAAATCCTTTACATATGTACCATATTGTAGAGTTTACAGAATGCAGCCTTTGCATATATAATCTTCTTTGATCTTCAGAATAACCCTATGAGGTAAGTTGGACAGGGATTGTGATATCTGTTTTCACAGATGAGTTCCAAAGGTCTGAAAAACTTTCTCATGGTTATACACCTATCAGAAGTAAAACCATTCCTAGATCTGGCCTTCTGATTCTAACTCTTCCTGCTTGCCTCCAGGAAAGATTGCCCTTTCTTGATGAAAGTACAGTGTGATCTGAGAGCATGGTAGGTTAGTTTCTTTTCAGAGGTTTTGGGAATCTGCTTTACTTTCCTGGGTCTGATATGGAAGTACAAACGGTTTCTTTCTACAGAACAATTTGCTCTCCAACCCTGCCCCCCCTTTTAAAAACAAAATCCATTTCTCTTCCAGATGCCAGAGTATATATGCATATTTGAATAGTCACCTGGATCTGATTAAGAAGGCTGAGCCTGTGGGTTTCCTCACTGTTGATCTGCATGTTTGGCCAGATTTCCATGGCAACCGGTCTCCCTTAGCAGATCTGACACTAAAGGGCATGGTAAGTAACAGCCAGTCCTTGCACCAAGGTGAAGGCAGGCCAAACAACTACAAAGTTTGGAGAAATCAAAGTAGGGAGAAAGAGAAAAAGGACAAATGAAACAGAATAGGCCAAGAGTGCACTGGTTCCTTGCAGATGTGTTTCTGTTGGGGCTCCCTGGGAGGATCTGCTGAAAGTTCTTATTGTTCCCGAGCCAACCTTGAACATACTCTAAGTAGTATTTCCTACATTCAGCTACTGCTGCCTCTTTGTCTGTGGAGTGGCTGAAAGTTGTTCCCATGTAATTTTCATAAATTCATGTTTTCCATCTCCATCTCCAGGCCACCTGGTGAGTCAGTGGTAAATGCTACCACCCATGGTCTTRTGTGCCCCAGCTACACATCACCTAGGCTTTGAGTCAGGGTTCTTCAGAGCCTATGCCAATATATTTAGAATTTTAGATTAAACTTTGGTAAAAATAAATACAATTAATAACTTAGGGTGGAGAATAAATTTCACCCTTACTGGTCATAAAGATCACTTTCAGCATAGAGATTCTGAGCTCTTCTGKACAGTCCAGAATGAACTTGGTGTATAAGCTCACAACTGCCTAAAAAAGCAGAGAGATAATACCTTGGAGGCCAGGTGGGATCAGGTGGCCAGGTACCATCTGGCCATCAGGAATCATGTTCAAGGATGGTTGAGGCAGGTTAAAGCTAGAGAAGCAGAGCTGAGTTTTGGTTCCCAGGGGCCAGGTAAGAACCATGAATGTCAAACCCAGGAAGGTGCCAATAAGTTTGGAAGTAGGTATAAGGGAAATTAAAGTGGAAAGTCAGAGCAATGCATGGCAAATAAACAGTGGCAGCCTGACCCGTGAATCAARATTGCTGGCTTCAGGAACTTTCACAATACTGTAAGTTTGTAGTTAGTTTCACTGAGATTATTCAAATACTTTTATGATGCCAACAGGAAGATCTGAACTTTATTTTCATAACCTAGTTTATATGATCAACTTCCATAAATAAAAGTGAGACATAGTGAAGAGAAAAGAAAACTGRACAGGGCAGAAGTTTTTGCCTCCAGTCTATAAGGCATGCCCATAAAACACAAAAGAAACTGGATCTCTTTATTGACCAGTGGAGGCAGAAAAAGATAACTGTGTAGCAACAGGTTCAGTTATGACCAATTCCACTTACAAACAGAGGATGGGGAAAGAATGGTTTAATATAGTACAAAAATAATGCCTTAATTAGAGACAAATATCAAAAAACAAATACAGATAAACATTTAAAGTGTTAAAGAAGTTAAGAAGCTTGACCAGTTCTTAGTATGACTCCAAAACATAGAAGGGTTGCACATAAAATTATCAGGGCTCTGGATTGACACTGGCCTGGGGGCCTGCCCTTGCCAACATCCATTGTACCCAGACTTAGTACCCAGAGTGTCAGGCACCAAGTTTCCCAGTAGCTTTTGTGTGTTTCTGAAAACCAAGCATGACATCCAGAGACCTAAGTATTAGCATTTTAAGGGTATTCTAATGAAGTTGACCCAATGCAAAGTGAAATTCCACAGGAGTCAGAGTATTTCCAGGAATGTCTGTCTCATTAGAATAAATATATACTGCCAAAAGGGACTTCTTGCATTGGGACATATGGCCAATTATATCTAGAAATCTTGGAATGTTTACTTTGTAAAGAAGTTATATTGCCTTACAAATATATCTCACATGTCTCCTGATGTTCTTAGCAGCGATTTCCCTCTATAACTATCCTTGGGTTAGGCTCACCCTGCAGTAGCTATCTTTAAGCCAGGCTGCATCACAACACTAGAAGAAGGTGACCTAGATATGATAGAAGGAAGGCAATTCTGGGCTAAAGCTTTTCCCAAAATCTTTCCTTCAATCCAATTTTGAACAACATTGAAATACCCCCCTTCAAAACTTTTCTATAATCATATTCTTTTGGCAAAACCTATAATGTTATTACAAATTATATGCTAGAACCTCTCCGTTATCATATGTTATATCTTTCTGCCAGTCCTGTGTTCAGGGCTCATTCAATAAATATTTACTGGATGTCTGCAGTGTGCCAAGCTCTGTTGCAGATAAAATAAGGTATAATTTCTATATTCATTGCACAGGTTTAAAGGGGTTAGGAAGTACTCCATGAAACACTGAGAGCAACTAGAATTGTCAGAATAACCCCAGGAGGGAAGAACCATATACAGTTTCTTCTTTTGGCTCCTGWGTCATTTCTCTAGGCACATAGTAAGTGCTTAATGATAATTTATTGTCAACATGGAGAGAATAAAGAGGCCATTATGGCTCTAGAAAAAATAAACATATGAACAATTTATTAATACCAAATGGATTTGATAGCTACTGATTCATGCTGTTTATATAAGTGATTAGTACTAATATTAATATCCAAGTAAATTAAGTTCCCATTTTGTCATACTTGAGAATATCTTTGTCCATCAAACAAATGCAGGTCCTATTATAGTTGGTGAGAGRTATAAAAGTAACTAGACTTACAGCACTCAGGAACATTTGGGGGACAGACAAACAGGTAGTGGRAAGATGGGGTCAAGTTCCTGGTATCACTCACTGTCTGGGCTCTGTAGATGCATGGAAGAAGATTAGATCTGATGTTCATGGTCAGGAAAGGCTTCTTATAGGAAGCAAGGTTAACACTGAGTGAAGGAGGGAAGAGGATTCAGGGGCCAAGGAAACATGGTATATACAGTATCCTAGAGGGAGAGAGAGCATGAATGTATGAATAGCCACAATTTGGCTCCTCATTTGTTTAACCCATGATAAATTACAGTTAGCATATTTTTTCTTGGGGAAAAATGAAAGAAAGTATGTTCCCAGAGACACTCTGGAGTCCCTGGGCTCTTCTGCTTCCGCAGCATCATACCCTCCCAGTTCATTATTCTTTCATTCATTGACTCTCCCCAAATCTTTGTTAAACATCCATCCATTCACTTTTTAGTGAATACCTAATATGTACAAGTCTATACTAAGCTCATAAAATGGAAAGAAGAAAAGTATCTGTCCTAAGTTCACATGAAAATGTGCAAAATCATTACTGTACATGTATGAGTGGGTGTGTCCATCATCATTCCATAGTGAGGGCCTTGCAGCATGGACCTGTGGGCAAGCCAAAGGAATGGCTCAGCCAATGTCTCACTTTGTTGTTGTTGGGTTTTTTGTTTGTTTGTTTGTTTGTTTTGTTTCGTTTTTTTAAAGGGCACCTCTCTGGTGAGCTGACACAGCTTTTCTCTTCACTTGAAAATACCAGTGAAGAAGTAAAAGTGGCATAAACTTATGGAGGGTTTGAAAATTAGAATGATACTCAACTAGGCAAACTAGGTTTGAGATTCCCAAAAAGAATCTGGGAAGATCTTTGAGAATCTGGAAGACTATTCAGCTTGATTGATAAACATGCTATAGGACATAGGAACAAAGTCTCTCTCCACCTTCTGCTCCCTAGCTGCAAGCACACAGCTGTTTTAAGCCTAAAAACAGGACAGTTACCCTTCTTCTCTACTGCCCTTGGTTACGTTGTATTGTTTTGTTTTGTATTGATTTTTAGAAGCAGACAGTGAGTTTAATTTCCTTGATTCCCCCCACAACTTGAAACATTCCCTATCTTCCTTTCAGTTCAATCTATTTGAAAGCTGCCAAAGGGCCGGAAGTGTGAGTCACAATCAAAGGCAAGGACTTGCATTCTAAGCCTCCTGCAAAAAAAACTCTGCTTCTGGGGCAGACACAGGAAAAGCCTTGACAGCTCTGTGAATTTGGAAGAAGAATTGTTCTAAGGTTAGGAAGTCAGTCAACAGTGACCTTCCTCAGTCCTATAAAGCTACACAGATAAAAGACCACTGCACKCTGGTCACTGGCATCTAGTTGGAGATCCAAAGAAGCAAATCAAGTGTACAGTGAATGGGGCTGAGAGTGAATCATGTGTCCTGTGTTCTGGGAAATACTGAATAGGCCTAGCTCCTAATTGGGGTGGATTTTAAAATATAATAAAGTGAGCCCCACAGGGAAAAGCATTGCATACAAAGAAGAAAGAAATACCATTTAAAACACTTACAAAAAGTTCTCTTGAAACTTATTACTGAAAACAAAAGAAAATATTGGAGAACTTCTTGGTATATTCTAGAGGTTTTTTTAAAAGGCATATCTCTCTAAAATAGGGTAGGGCATAAACTTACAGGAAAAGTTGAGTTAAGATGAAAAGACAACACAGTGAGAGGGACAAGAAATGACAAAGACATAAAACAAATAATAATGCAATAAACAAATCAAAACCTACATTGAAAGCAGTATGAACCATAATTTTCATGGATGAAAAGAAGATCAGAGTTGTCATAAGGCATAGCATTTTTTTAAAATTTAATATATTAGAAAAACATTTTGAGGGTAGAGTCTATGGCTTATTTGTGTGTTTTTTAAAAATCTCAACAGCACCTGAAATCAAATAATTGCCTTTCAGTCAGTTATTACAATCATTTACCAAGTGAATAATGAAAGCTGCTGCCCAAGGTCACAATGCAAAGGAGAGGCAGAGCTTCAATAGAAATATGAATCCTGATTTTTAGGATGCACAGCTTCATGAGTCTACCTGAACTCATAACTCTGGACTTTGCGGAATGCAACTAGGATGATAAAAGGAGTTCCAACAGATGCACCACACATAGTTTGATACTGAACCACTCTTCTTGGCCTTGACCTTGCTCCTTTGGTCTCATCATCAACTTGTCACTTTTCCACCCATTTTTATTCTAACCCTGGTCTTAGCTGTGGTTTCCTCCTGGGAATGTCTCTAGGCTTTCTTTCCAACCTCACTGACTCAGATTTGAAGTTATTTRCCACTCCAGATTTGACCCTACTCTGAGGTCTTCCACTTTGATGCCTACCCTCATACGCAAGCACAGGACCCAACCCAAGAATCTTCCCCCTAAATAGAATCTTTTCCTTCTGGCAACAGTTGTCTTCCTGTGTCACCAGTTGT